TTCTGCTTACCAAAACGGCCCACTTAAAGAATTCATGTATCCCAGATGTTCAACCCAGTCTTGCCCATTTAAAGCTTGAGCATATAAGTAATCTACACATATGTGCATATCTTTTTATATCTATATATGTACACACATACATACGCGCATGTACAGTGTACATATTTGATGCACACCCTTCCAATGTAGTTTGCAGCAAAAAGTGACACGGAATGCATTAACCATACACAGCATCAAAGTCATGGCGGTAAAACCCTGGAAGCTGCACCCTAGATGCCAGATATCGAACACTGCACCCTGAACCCTGCCCCAGACAATAGAAGCTCACAAGAACCTGAAGCAGCAAGCACAGGCCCGCATCACCCACCCTCGACCGTCTGCGATCCTGGATGCTTGAGCCGTGGCATAACCGTCAGCAACGAAGGGGTCTCAATGAAACCGACTAGGGCCGGGGAGTGTTGTACTGTTAAAATACCACAGCTACCGAGATTCACAAGGAACACTTTTACAGTGGGCACAGACCACCCTCCACTGTTCAGGATGCAGCAGTCAATTGTTTGACACGAAGGACAAATACTTCCGAAACTCGAGCCTCAAAAACCTAGGTCTTACTTCTCGGTTATGTATGCCCACCATAACATGACAACACCCTTACGCTACCTAAAGGTTGAAAATGTATTGTATTCAAGCCATTTTCATGCGCATTTATGCATTCAATCAGCAACGGAGACGTGTACATGGCGTCCTCAAGAACAGCACGCCGCCGTCGCCGGGCTTCTCCAGGCTTACAGGGAACACCTGCGCAGGGCGAGAAGCGAGAATGCACATCAACTTCCTGTGTCGGGCTCGAGCCCAAGCGTTGGTTTAGTGGTCTGCCCCGGACCCTTAAACCGGTCTGGACCCCTTTCTACATTGGGCCGTCGCAGTCCATGCAAAAGAATTTCCTACTCTTGGCACTGAAGCCTTAGCCGCCTTAACCCCATTTTTCCAGGTTCCTGTAGCTCCAGAGCTTCTACTCCGTTCCACTTGCTGCTTGTTTCTGAAGCTGATGGAGACACGGGCAGCAGCCAGGAGTCATCGAGGTTGTTACAATGCCCTACGTACTTAAAGGCGTGCATATATTTATATACATATATATATATATATATGTATGTATGCTTATATCTATAATATGTTTTTATGTGTTTGTTTATACATAGTATATCTATCTATCTATCTATCTATCTATCTATCTCTCTATCTCTCTATCTCTCTATCTCTCTGTCTATCTATCTATCTATCTATCTGTCTATCTATGTATACATACATTCATACATGCATACATACATACATATTACATACGTACATATGCATATATGTGGGTAGTTGTCAAAATGATGGTCCCTTTTGGGGTACCCTAAATAATAGGTGCCGTATTATAATAAGGACCCAAAAAGGGACCATAATTTTGACAACCACCCATGTGTAGATGTATATATGTATGCACACACACAGAGACAGACACAGACACAGACACACACACACACACAGACACACACACACACATCCACACCCACACACGCACATGCATACATACGTACAATGTATGTATGTCATACATACATACATACATACATACATACATACATACATGCACGCATTCATGCATACGCACATACGCACGCATACATAGATATATCTACATGCACGCATGCATGCATTCATGCATACATACGTGCGTACACGCAAGAAGAGACGGACCGGCAAGCAGACAGACATGGATTCAGATGTACATACATAAGCATGCAACAACAAGAGCAAGCAACATGTAATAAGGTTTTTCTTCAGGTAGCTTTTGTGCGCATGTGTCTGGAGTTCGTGTTCTTCAAAGCAGGCACTTCTAGCCAGACGCTCCCCAGCTAGAAAGTTGTAGGGCAAGAGACGTCAGCAGCAAGCCACGGCAACATCCACTCGCGAAGACTAGACTTCGTTCCGCTCGTTCTCAGAGTTTAGGGTTTCGATTTGCGAAGCAGGGCTGAACATATCCCCGTAGTCGGTCCGTCGGAGCAGCAATCACCGGAATTACACAAAAAGAGAATGACACGACGTAATGTGCAAACTGACACTGATCTGTGCCATTCTCGGTGGTGCTACGATGTACCGAAAAATGTGGATTTATGCTGATCTAGCTGCATATGCTACAATATTAGTTTGCATGAAGTTTTCGAACCGCAATCAATCTGACTGTGGATCCCAATAGCCCTGAACAAAAGCCGACATCCCATGCCAGGGCCCGTGATTTTAGATCCGAATGCCTGCTCTAGACTCTAGACATTTGCCTACGAAGTTTGCTTGCCTAGCCAAGAATAGCCCTGCGAAGCATCTGCTCTTAAAGCACTCTGTCAATGATGCCCGCCCACTTCCTACAATCCCGATCTCCGAGAGTGCACCTCCCCGGATCCTAAGGAGAGGCCGGTCGTCGGTGCATCCAGGCCCGGCCCCGAACGAATCGCGAGCCGCTCCTACACCCATAAGATCGTGTCTGGGGCATCAGGATTACCGGGATGTTCCTGGTCAGGGCTTTTAATTTTTGGCTCCACAAGGAGCTGAAGGTAGGACTCTTATATACAGCGAGCCAGCCTGGCTTGGACTTCAGCCTGGTAGCCACTTCATCCAGGCCGGACACAAACTAGGGATCTTTGCATCTTACAAGCTATACTACAATCCGCTCTGGACATGTAGGATCAACCTATAGCACGTGCTCCACGTGACCTATGCCACAGATTTCTTCATGTTTCGAAATATTCTATTCTATTATGCCCAACGACCCGTTGTTACTTGTTACCATCCACCCGAGCAGGTGACATGCCTGACGGCTCAAGCAGTCCGTTGCCTGCCCATCCGGTGCGAGGTAACGCCACAAAGGCAGCTGCGATGCCTGGGCCTTTGGGAAGGAATTACAGGATTGGGGGCCTGAGGATACGAAGCATCGAAGCGAAGCATAAGACCTCGTATGTCGATAATGTGCTACATAATGCCCCATAGCACAACATGTCCGACAAGGTGCTCTACATGACATTCGGCACTGCACTCACTATGCGAGGCAGCGCCAAATGCGAAAACACTGTACCACTTGATGATGGCATGCTGAACACTGATCGAGGTACGAGACGAGCAGAGGGCAAAGCAAACACAACCCTGCATGGCATTTCTTCTGAAATCATGCTGATGGTTTCTGCTGCTCACAACGACAAAGACCGGACCACGATGTTAAAGTAGATGCTGAGGGCAAACAGTACTGAGACATGCAGCAGCAAGAACAGAAAACCATCTTCGGCTTGACATCTTACAAAGATGCAATTCATCGCACTGAAGCGCGAATCTACTACACGAGCTACCATGACAGCTTGGCCGTGCCCGCTCCCATTGACAATTCACTCCCGTGAAAGGCCCAGTTATATCTCTGACTGGACTAAGCCTGTGGCTCGAGCAGACAAGGTGGCTGCAGGCACCTCAAAACGGGTCTGGATCACGACCACGAGGTCATTAGGGTTTGGGGTTTTTGAAGAACCGGAAACCTAAACCCAGCCTCCAGACTCTGAACAAGTTCAAGGTGTCGCAGAAGGATTTGTAAACGGCGGCATGTTGACGGCATTGGAGCCCTAACCGACCCGAGTCAACGAAGGTAGCTCGCTACACAACAACGCGTGCAGCGGAATTTCCCTCTCCCACAAAAATCTTTTACTGAGTGTTGCCGAGTCTTGCCGCAAGTCGGTGCAGGGTTCAAGAATTTAAGGCCCCATCCTGAAACAACGTTTTTGGAAACCACGTGCTTGCCTTGATCTCTGGGATGGCTTGTCTTTCTCGAGATCGGGGCGCAGGTGGAGGCTGTGGCGGTGCGGGCTGCGGGCGCCTCAAGGCGTTTTGATTATCCTAATTCAAGCAACACAAAACCAACATGTGAAAAATTCTGACATTGATTGTCACTAGGGACACTAGGCTCGAGTTTTGGGCTCCTGAGTCTCCGGACCAATTTTCCGGCTTCGCTGGCTGCAGAATTGGCTTCGTCCTGGGCGCTGCCTGCTTCGAAGTGGAGGACGGGTTGCTTCGCCGATTCGCTTTTTCGCAGTTTCAACCTGCGCGTGCCAGTCTAGTCCAGTACGGGATCGGCTAGTAAACACTTTACAGTTTTGCGTAGGCCTACGTGTGCATACTTTCATAGGTATATATTTTTATTACATACATACATACATACGTACGTAGGTAGGTAGGTAGGTAGGTAGGTAGGTAGGTAGGTAGGTATGTAGGTCTGTATGCATTATGTTTGCATGTGCGTATGCATGTGTATAAGCGTGCATGTATGTGTAAATGTCGGTTTTCATGCGTGGTCAGAAATGCACAGCTGTGTGCTCAGCGTTCATGCTGTTGTCGGCCAGGGAGCTCAACCTTGCCCCTTGTCTTGAACCGTCTTCTATCCTAGCTCTGCTCTCTCAGCTTTTGTCGAAATTGCTCATCTGTGACTGTGCCAACGAGATCCCATCTTCTGTTACCCACACGGGCTATGCCTTAATGCGATGTAGCCGTCACAGACCTGCACGTGTCGGATGTTCCACTTTCTATGGACTTGAACTCCGACATGGCTAAGCAATCGCTACTCAGTTGCGGGATCAAGATTGAAGGAAGGGCATGATGGCAACGGATGGTTACAGTTTAGGCACCATTGAACCCTGCAGCCTCAAGCCTGACCGGCTTCTGTTTCGGCGCCGGTTCGGGGGGCCCGGCCTCGCTACAGAATGCACAACTATCAAGAAAACAGCACACCTGCAAAGCCTTGATGTGAGAGTCGTGCGCGCGTGCCTACACATCGAAAGTCGAGCCTGTCCTGTCTATAAAAGTCTCAAGGTGCGATCTGCTTCTGGATGCTCAGGCCAGCACGCTTTCTGAACCAGAGCCCGAATCCGACTCCGATGCACTGCCTGGGAGTTGGATAACACAATAGGCTGAGCATGCCAATGTAGCTATGGAGCCAACCTCGGCGGAAGGCATGCCCCGCATGGCAATCAAGCGTGTGTCTGGGTTTCCGGCCTGTCTGCCCGGCGTTAGCTGCAACCCTGCCCAGCATTCGGACAAGGGTCTTCAGGATGCGGGCGGGAATTCGGACCCGTCGAAATGCATTGAGGTTGAGGGAAGGCGGGGAACTTGGCCGTGACATGAAAGGTTGATGCACTTGCAGAAGTCTGCGCGTTTTCGCTTGTGCTGATACAGGTCTGGCTGCTGAAGCTCAGGACTGCAAGCGAACACATCAACTACTGTCAATGCTTGATTCCGGAGCAACACTGCGTAGGTAGTAGTACCTAGCTCATCACGGAACCCGGAACCTGTTCTGACATAAATCTGGTCGAGCATGTATGCACAGACGAGAGGCGCTCCTGCCCCCGAAAGCCGAAACCGTTGCCGCAAAACCTGAACCCAAGACAAAATCCCGCTGCTGAAGCTCCCGCCCCAAAACCCGGTTCTCGTCTTCTTGGACGCCGGCTTCGCTTGCGGAGGGTTGTCACCTCCAGGACAGTCGCAGGGTGCAGATGGGGTGCTTTAAGGGCTTCTACTGTAGGTTTTCTAGGGTGCTGAGCTTTAAGTCGAGGGCTCATAGTTTTGGAGTTTCGTGTTTGGGGTTTGTGTTGCCTAGAAATTGGATACGTTTACAAGTAGGATGAGGTATTGGTGATCCTGGTCTATATGCAACGTAGTCGACAAAGCTGTGACCGCATGTGTCCCGGTCAAAATCTCCGAGATGCGGTGGCATCTACAGTTTCTCGAACGGCCTCGATCGTCAACAATACCTTTCACCCATCGGAAGCTCCGACGCAGGTTGCCGCTAACTTATCGCTTTTACGGGGTGCTACTTTCCAGCACTATCCGCTAATGTCCACTATCTCCTTCTCTCACTCTGCCATGGAAAGTCCCGGTCTTCCCAGACACTGTGAGCCAGGCCTGGCGCCTGCGCTGGAGACGTCGGAGCCTCGCTGACCCACAGCTCGCCCCTATCTACGAACGAAAAGCAAGCCACTTCTCAAAGGATAAGTCTAACCAGTAAATAGCTCCATGCTTGTATCAGCTTCGGGATGAGGACATCGTGTCAAGTCCGAGCAGGACTGCGAACCGCAAAGGTGCAGATATGAACTTAGAGATAGTGAAACCTGGATCCTGCACGTTGCCTGGCTCCCGTTTTCACCGCCCGAAGACTCAGAGCCTGGCAGGGATGCTCGTTGAGTGTGCTGACGGCTTGTGGCTCACTTATTGTGTTCCGTGCAATGCGAAGCGAGGCAATTCCCAACGAGAGCGGGGAGTATCTTGAAGCCCATCAAGCCTCGGCAGAACCTCGATAACACACTATACTGGGAAGCCTAATTCAATGTGGCCTTCGCCGGCAGCGTCTTCCTCCTCTGCCTCTTCCTCGTTCTCCTCATCGCCTGACTCCTCTGATGGCGGCCTTACCATTTCGCTGCCGGAACAAACCGAAAATGTCGAAGGAGGACGGTGTAAGGACTTCGGCCTGAGGGCCACAGTGTCGCGACTTCGGCTTGAAGGTTTAGAGCACTGCAGTGGCAACTATGAGGTAAAGCCTGCTGCTGCCCATGTCATGCTACCACCCGGCGTAGTTTTCCAAACCACAACCTACAGGACCTGCCTGTCTGTGTTGAAGCCAAAAACTGTTGCTCTCTGACTAGCAGCAGTCCACTCATCCAGGAGGCCCGATCATGAGATTTTTGAACAGCCTCGCATGGGAAGTCCTTCGTGCGTGCTGTTTTGTTTTTGTCGTTTTTGCCGATGTTTTTTGATACTGTCTTGATCCTTTTCCTTTTTCTGATGGTGTTCACCCTGAAAACTAACTCAGTAGTGCAGACACTGGTGAATCGCGAAGTTTCTGACTGAATGTTTCAGACAGAACGTGCTTTCTACGAACTAGGCCTTCGCAGATGCTGGCGCGCCATGCCCTTTAAGCACATTCCTGAAATCTCTCGCCACATCGCGAATTCGTGTACACGAAGCTGTTGGAGGGTGGCACTGCGTGCATTGGTTCATTTGTATCGGCAAATGGCGAAGGGGCCCCGGGCAGATATCAGGACATGAACGTGATCGCACATGCAGTTTTCTTGATTTTGTTGTTGCCGCCGATGTGGACGATGATGATGCTGACTGTGACGGTGACGATTGTGATGATATTATGCTGTTTGCTGCGGATGATGGTAATGGTGATGATGATTATGCAAGACTGTGCTGGCAGGAAAGCATAACGGACGTACACGACAGCCGACCCATGAAGGCGCCGAATCCTAAATCAGGCTCTGTCAATGCAATACATGCCCCAGCCCAACATCTCACGCTCAGTCTAGACAACAGTTTCGCCGACGGTCACCGAGGCCGTCACAGCTCTTCTGGCTTCGGCTCGATTGGGGCCACAGGCCCTGAAGTTGCAATGGGTCGGAGCAGGAGCCGCGGCTTAGGGATACGGGCAGGCACTGCGCGCGTCTGTTTCTATGTTATGTACCTTTCCGACAGCAATTTGCTTTAGGACGTGGAGCTTGAGGCTCGGGAGATTGAGAAGCTTGCAAGTGGCCTGCACTCGCATATCTCAAGTATTTGCAGCTCCATCCACTGCCAATCCCAGAGCCGTAAAGTAGTGTCGAACATGTTTGTAAACAGCATGCTGGAACATGCTGGAACTCTGCGGTATCTTGTCAACGTTCAAACCATACTGCTTCCACAAACGATCGGCTCGCCTTCTGGCTTGGAAGCCGCAGCAGCCTGCAACAACGTCAGGGCAGTCTGCCGAAATCAGGCTGCGAGCAAGCGCGACTTGAACAGCCTCGACTTGATGCTGATTCACCAATTACTTGCTGTTCACGTGGCAAGGCCGTCTGGCACCGAATTGCGGGGTTCAACCTGCAAATGGCCTCCAAAACGCGACAATTACAAGGCACGTCTTGCCTGGCTTGTCTCCGTTCCGGGCGGAGCATCCGCGGTCAGCCTCGAGACAAAGTCCCGTTCACAATGTGTGCTGAATGGCGCGACAAAGCCTCCGATGAAGTCAAGAGATCATGGAAGATAGCCGTCTAATGGATGACGTTACGCGTTGTCTAGCGAGAAACTGTAGTTGTGCCTTGAGCTTGACTCGAGGGTGCGCTTCAATATCTGTATGTTACTGTATGTTTCAGAGTCTACATCCCCAAATTGACTTGGCATCTGGCGCGCTGGTGCCATTCTGGATGCCTTGGAGAGGTGGCTAGAGCGGTGGATTTCCTAAACGCCGGAAGCCACTGTTCAGCTTGGCCTAGAACCAGCACCGGGCGACGACGATGCTTGATTTACAGGTGTCCATCGGCGCTTTCATGTGGTTCACACTAAGAGCATTAAGAGCTGGCATAAAAGCTGCGTTGCTGCTTGCTAGTTCTGCGGATCCGCACTGCTTCAAAAAAGAAACTGCTTGGGGATCACTGCGCTGATGCAGAGACACTGGCACCAAGCAGAAGAGATCTTGTGAGAACAAGGCTATAGCGGACACAATGTGATGCTTCACGCAGTGACGACCAGACAGCGGGACAGCCGTGAACTCCAAGGGCCATGCTCGGTGCCGAGGCTTTCTCCGCTTTGTCCGCAGCCTGTTGAACCAACTGAATTTAGCAGCGACTGCGCCACTCCTTTAAATTGGACCTCGATGTCGCCAATGCTGGAAAGCAAGAGACTGCCGCCCAAACTCTGCGAGGCCTACAGAAGTCTGAACGCCACCCCCTTTGAAACCCACCCAACATCCCTGTGACCTAAACCCGCCTTGGGAGAAGGCTGCTGCCTGGAGCAGGCTCATGCAATTATCTACTTGAGCGCTCAGGCAATTATCTACTTGACTGCTCAAAGGTCAAAGTTTGAAGGCCAATGCCTCGGGCTGTGGATGCCTGCCTGCAAAAGATTGCACTCCAAGCTGCTTCGGGGCTGGTTCGTAGCCGATCGAAACTGCTTGAATCTGTCATCGTCTGTCTGTCAGACTAGCCAGTTCCAGTTCCCAAGAGATGTACAGCTGCTTAAACCACTCACCCTTCACTGCAGCTCTGTTGTCTGGATCCCGAATCAGAAGTGCGGATCCTTGCCTAGGTTGCAGACCCAAGATGACCCGGGGCTCAGGGTGCGATTTTGTCAGGGTTGAAAGAAATCAATGCTGACGATCGGGTGCGTGCTATGATCTGCTATGCAAGGATCGCTAGCACAATCGCCGGTGAGCGTGCAAACCTTGAAGGCGCGGTCCGCCCCGCCTGCCGTCTGCCTCAGGCTCTCCGCCACCTGGGGCCATGGGGCTGTCGGCTAGAGGCGGACTCGTCCTGAACCCCTGCATGCAGGCGGCTCAAGCTCTCTGCAGAGGCTTTTGCGGTTGTTGACCTCAAGCTTCTTTTGCTGGGCTTCTTACGAGTATTTGGGCAGACTGACCTGATCCCGGCTTTGCTTTGAGCAGCTCCTGACGCGCAGTGCGTTGTCGGATGGTGCCAGCGTCAATGCCGACGTTTACGACAGCAATGAGTCTAGCACTTCTTGCGTGTACAATGGCTGAAGCATGAGTCAGAGGTGGACAACTCCAGCCGCACGGTCACAGAAGGAGTTGTGTCTGAAACATGCAATCCCCTGACAAACATCTCTGTGAATCTCAGAACTGCCCGAGCCCTGAAACAGCTGTGGAGTCGGCGCTCCCCAGCTGCATCCTGGGCCTGAAAACATGCGTGTCTCTTGGGCTCATGGGAGGCTATTGCGTGGGTCTGGACTCGCATGCGCCTTTGCCGCAAACCTGGGTGACAAACCCAGTCTCAGCTTGATAGCCCACAAGCTACGGTATCGGAACTTGTAGCTTTTAAGTTCAGGCTCTGACCGTGGGCTGTCCAAACCTAGCTAGTAGCTGAAGCATTTTTCAATGTCGGGTCAGGAGTTAGCAACTGGTATCGGGATTCTGGATCCTTAATCACCTCTAATCCAATCTCCGAACATCGACTCACGGCAAGGGCCAAGGTCCCGCCTCCGAGGAAGCTTCTGCAGGCTGCCTCGCAGGTTCAACCCATGTGCACTAAGTCTCATGATCTCTGACCAGAAACAAATCGTTCCGTGGCTCGGTGCAATCAAAGTCCGGTGTTTTCCGTATTGTTCGGATGATCCTGTCACAGCATTATTAAGGGCCATTCTGGATTTATGCTTTAACTTGCGTCACGAACATCAACTCAGCTCCGATCTTCCCTGCAGGCTCTCGAACCCCAAACAGATCGCAACTGAGGGGCTCTGACCTATGTGGCAGCTTTGGCGGTTCGGGGTCCTGAATATGAGAAACCGCTACATCGTTTTGGTTTACTATGCAGGGAATTCGAGTTTGGAACATCTTCGTGTAAAGTCACCCTGTGCGGGCAGTGCGAAGCTTCAACAACGCATGTCGTGCCCTGGCCTGTCCCTGTCCAGGGCATTGGAGAGCACTTGGCGGGTGGGCATCGGCATGGGAGGAGGATCTTCTAGGACGCCTGCAAGCGAACGAGACACGGGCAGGTTTCCTCCCTAACAACGAATATCAAAATGGCTAGAGCCGAACAGATTGAACACAAGGGGTTACACTATGTTACACTGTCGTTCGACTGCAATCCCCAGGACCCAGCCCTATTTACCTGAAGTTCCGCCTGCTCTTGTAGTCATCGACGGAGCTTTCGGCAGAGAGCGTTCCCAAACAGTGTGCCAAGTAAAGCGAATTGGCATCGCGTTCATTCTTTACGCAGGATCCGTTCGGCAGCGTCCGCAGCGGCAAGTGTGAATCCCATCAGTACTTGTTGGAAGCATGATGGCCGTTGCCCTGAAACCCGCCAACCGATGGGCGGGGAGCACGGTGGGCGTCTCTCTGAAATGGTCTGCCGGTGGCTTCCTGGTGGTCTCCTGGTCTCTCCTCCGATCTCCTGCTGGTCTCCTGGTGGTCGCGTTTCGTGGTCGTCCTGGCCATTGTGATCGTACTCATCGTAGTTGTCGTGGTGGTCCTTGTGGTCATGGTTGTATTGGTCGCCGTGGTCGTCACGGTGCTCCATCGCTGTTTGGCACCATTTGGGCAAAGGTGCTTGGTTCCCTGCCTGGGTTTCGAATTGACCCTAGCAAGGAATTGAAAGCAGTCTTCCAGGCAGTTCTAAACCCCTGGCTCTGTGCACAGAGCCAAGATGGGAGGGCCTGAGAGTAGAACATGTATCTAATTCTTCCTGATCTTCGGTCACTTGCGCCTTCCCTTTGTCGCTGCTGTTTTGCGATCCCGCCAAATTTACGGAATGGGCCTGTGATAAGTGTAGTTTTATCCAGCTGCACCAGAGCGCTATGCACCAGAAGCACATGCCACCGTAGTGTCAAGAGTTGGCCGCATGTTTGCCCCCTAAACAAGACACAGTTGCCTGGAGCGAGTCGTCAACCCTCCACCTTTACCAAACCTGGAAGTCCTGTGACGCAATATCTGATAGGAGTTGGGCTACTTGCCTCAGGCAATACTCCGTGATTCCTCAGCTATTCTACGACATTCACTAGCCCAAAGAATGGGTTCCACATCCCGAGGGCTTTGCCCTTGACCCATGTTCCTGCTGCAACTGGAGCAAACCTAATCGGATTGTCAACTTGGTAAACCCCACCTGCTGGGCTCTTCTCTTTGTGATGTGGCGTCGTTCCGGTGCTAGACGCCTCAGAAGCTTGAGGAGAGAAACTGTAGCGACAAAGAGGGTTCCGCCGCGAACCAAGCGTCCAGGACTTCTTGTCGGGAATGCACCAGGCTAGCTGACTGCGAGGTGAACATATGATTCGATGCACACTCTCAGCTTTCAGTTCTCAAAAATATGATCAAGAGGCCTAGCGTACGCGAAACTCTGTCGTAAGTTCTGCTCACAGCACTTATGATGTCGCACTTCCTCGCGCTCGTGGCCAAACTGGGCCAAACGACACGACCAAAGCTCGTCACAATGCTTCGTGCACTGGGCAGGGTAAAGTAACTCTCGCCATCAGCATCATCGTTGTCACCATGAAGTCACCATCACCGTCATCATCATCGTCACCATCGTCGCCACCGCCACCAGCGCATGTTTATCGTCCGAGTCATCGTCATCCTTATCGTCATATGACATCATCACGGTCATGATCATGGTCCCTGCCCGTCTTCCTCTTACATGCAAAGCCGATGAGTGCAGCTTCACATACCCACATCACATTGTTCATACTTTGCTGCTGGCTTCCTCACACTAGGCCTTGTAATGATATACTATGCATACAGGGACTGATTCAAGCACACAGCGGTTGTGATACTCAGAAGCTCCAAGATCAGTAATCTCGGTAATCACTAACCTCCAAAACGGAACCAATACCACTCTAAAGCCCTTTAAGCCGGCACAGAGAAGAGAGCTGGGCCACAAGCTTCTGCAGCTGCATCCCTGGAGGTTACAAAGGCATTAAGGCTTCGGGATTTACTGGTTAGGCGGTATAAGGTTTCGGGTATTCAGGGTTTAACGCTTTTGGGTCAGAAGTGCTGGGTTAAGGGCTGAAGGTTATTCACTCAGGGCTGTGCCCGGGCGACGAGCTTGGCATAGGGGTGCTTGGGGCAAATCTTGTCACGTCTATCAAGATTCGACAGCCTTTGGCACTCCCATCGCAGCGTGGCGGCCACGTGTTGTCTACCGCTGCTTCTGCGCCCGAGTGCGATCAGGTCTCTAGCATTGCGCTCAAAGCTTCAACTCTGCACCTTCCTGGCGCAGCCTGACAATCGAACGATTCTAGTTTCCGATCTTGCACCAAAACACAGACGGTTTCGGACTTTCCAATAGCTTCTCAGCCTAATACTGCCTTGAGAAGCTTCTGCATCCGAAACTCTACAGCTGAATCACGTAGACTGATGTGCCAACCAGGACTGGAAACCCTAACCAGCCTGGCAGTGCTCGGAACGACTGGCACTGACTTCACCTTCTTCCTGAAGGTGCGCAACGTCTCCATAGCAGAACGCGTGCTTCAGGACATTGGACAACTACAAGCAGCTAGCACCATGTGGAAACACGGATCTTGTACCCATCTCCAACAGCCCGAACACCATTCTAATTTTTAAAATTCTAACCCCAAGCCCAGGCCACATCGAACTTCCGTTCAGCGTGCTCCTCTCCCGAGAAGGCGATCTCAGCCGAACGGGATCAGGTCCTGGATCAGCCAACCCGCAGGTTCAGATGTTCAGGAGTTTAGGGTTCGTTAAGGGTTCAGTGTTCAGGCTCAGGGATTGTAGGTAGGCGGAGGTGCAACATTCAGGTTGTCTATAAACAAGCAGGAAACGGTCGCACAGACGGGTTCGGTCAAGAACAAGCATCCAAATCTGTAGGGTTTGAACCAACCGCAAGCGAATCCAACAGTCCAGCTATGCCTGTGCCGAAAGCATCGTACTCGGTTGACGAGCTTGCCGTGCCTTTGCGACCTGACAGCTTTGCCCCTGAAAGTCGATTTCTTACAAACAAGCGGTTTTTCGAAGACCTGCTCCCTTTCCAGTCCTGGCTATGCCATGCTTATGATGAAAGTGTTCAGTAGGTAATGCCTTCGAAGGGCAACAGGTCGTTACACAAAGCCTTTGTTTCTCGGTAAAATCGCCATTGATGGAAGGCTCCCCAAGCCTTCAAGGTTGTCCTATGCCGGGGTTTTCTTCAGGCATCAGTTGCTTGCTCAGGCATCAAAGCCGTCAACCACGCTTCACTCTTGGGATCTGCATGCCATGCTGGGCCACGCCTGCATCCACCGCCGGCTCCTTCGAAAGCTCTTTGACGCCCAGGGTGCTGCGCGAAAGAAATTCTTCGGCATGTCTGTCTCTACATACCGGCTAATACATGCCCTTATGGCAGTCGCAGAGAGCATTCCATGTGGTTTCAGGTAATTAGCCGAACCCGCCATGTCTTAAACAGGGAGGGATCACTCCAACTACACCCTTAAAGCTTGAATGCGGAGCGATCACTCCAAGATCCGAACAGCCTAGCAGCCCTGGGCTCCAAGACACGATTATTGGCCGAAGTCACCAGCGTAACATGGGGGCGATAGTTCTGATACCTACAGATGCTGATGATATACAATCTTTTCTATGCTTGCGAAGTCTCCAAAGCAGAGCGAACGAAAGCTAGAGGGACGGAAGGGGTAGCAGGGCATTGCTAATTCGAGCTGATTCTGATAAGCGAACATGAAAGGAACAGTGCTCCCTGTGTGCTGTGTTGTGAACTAGCCGCTTGCCTACTGGTAACCTGTCGGCAAGTGGCTATCCAATCAAGCTTGACAAAGGAATTAAGGTCGCAGGCCTTGTCATGAAACTTACGGCTTGTGCTGAACTCGTTCCTCAATGCAAGAAACAACTCTGAAGCGTTTGTTATTCATTGATGCTTGTGTCTGACAACAGCGAATCGGAAAAGATGCCGCCGCGAACGTGAAACAGTTTTAGGCAATGCTGCTGTCTTCAGTTGTGCAGATGTGCACTGCGGCTATGTTGACACAGCTCTGCTGTCTGTTGTACGATGCCGTGGGGCTCATCCAGAGAGCAGCCTTCCGAATTGAGCAGTGAAATAAGGAGTGGGGCCCCGCCCCTGCTTATGCTTAGATCGTTGATATATTAGGAGTTATATTAGGAGCAAAGGACCCTAAACTTTTTTTGGGCTGCAAACCCAATCTGTCAACAACAACTCCTGCAAGCTCCAAAGAAGCTAGCTTTCATGATTTACAGCCCAAGCCCTGCAAGATCCCAGCAATGTGGCGAAGTGCAAAGCACCTGACGTCGTCTAAGCTTCGGAAGATCTGGCCAGGTGGAGGCTGGGGCCTGGGCCGGCTCTCTTGGTTTTTTGCGCCTGGTACGAGAAAAGTTGCGCTCAGCCTGGCATTATCACATCCTTTTCTGCAGCTCCCTGCTCTAACGAATGCCCACATCTCCACTTTGACTTGCATACAGTCCTGGACTCATCCTTGCCTAGCTGTTCATCACTGACGTCAGCAAACACGAGCACACCGGAACCCGAGGACAACCATGCACACTTCCCCCTTTTCCTCTTCGCACGGAAGTGTGAAGGCGCCAATCCGAGAGGGCCACCCCGAGCGAGCGCCTCCGAAATAATCCAAAAGAACACTGTGTGGCACTGATCTGCTTGGCGAGAAAAGTCCCGCGTCTCGTTGGAGCAAGCGGGGGATCTCTCAGCCTTACCGTGCACCCCGTGCAAAAAGGTGAAAGCCGCTCAGTAGTCGAGTGACACGAGCCGGTGCTCCGGATTGAAGCTCTGGTAGTCTGGGTGCACGAGCTCGTCCGCCCACTGGTTGAAGTCATGGTGAAGAAGGAGCAGCATTAGTTCCATCAGGACCGCTGCCGACGACATCTTCCTGGACTTGCTGTCGAATTATATACAGGATGGAGGAAATGTTCCCCTGGTTGTCGGAGAAAAGAGAAATGATAGGAAAGCGCTCGTCCTGCTCGTTCTTTTCAATGAGGACCAAGGGCCCCAGCATCTGCAAGGCCGCGACGCGTCGATGCGTCGCTTCGGGGAACCCTGGACGAAGGCCCATGGATGACGAGTTTCCGTGACCTCGAAATGGAACCAGAAGACCGAATTCTAGACCGAATACTTGTCGGGGTTCGGGTTCTGCTTGTGGGGCTCTGAAGACTTCCCGTAGGAGATGTAGGTAGGAGTGCCGCGACGGAGCGGATAAGAGAACCAGCTTTACCCGATGTTTTGCAGGCTTGGGTCGAAAAAGGCTGAAGCAGAGACTTGGTCATGGGGCAGCAAGTCGTAGCCCACTGGAGTCTCCCAAGTCCTTTCTCGATGTCCTTGCCCCTGAACATCTTAGCATGGACGAGGTCTCCAAGTGGTTGCAGCTTCATGATCAGGAGATGCTTGTCCCTGCCCGCTGGACCGTCCTAGCCATGTGTTGATCTGAGCCATAAGGGGCTTTTTCCAGCTAAGCCGAGTCCCAAAAGCAAGCAGAGTAAGAAGACTGGCGGTTCCCCACATCCCCGACTTCCTGACCCAGAGGAAGTCATCGACAAAAACACATTGCCACTCAATTGAGGAAAAAAGAAGTAGTGAGCAGAGCAGAGGAGTAGAAGCAGCAGAGCAGCCATCCGACCCCAATAGAGCTGAGCGCTGGCCATTCCATACGTTCCAACCTTGTTGACGAACCATTCCCGCCCAGCGTCGCTATCTGGAACCGCCAACCTCGCCGCAAGACCTTCATGTGGCGGTCGGCCTTAGTGACGTTGGCTTTGAGGATGAGCCATTCGGTCTCCGCATCAAGCCATTTCCAGGCTTCCGGGTCAATGCTTGCTTGATGCCCCCCTTCTCATGCCCCCTTCGAGCCCTTCTTGCGGACCTGATTTGAGCCGCTGCTGCCATGAGCCAGTGGATGATGTGGACACAGCCCATGACAGTTGGAGAAGTGTTCTTATTTTGGTGTTGTTCTGAATGTGCTCATTCGCACCATTCTTGGAGCCATCGAAGATCGTCCTGATGTTGTCAGACTCATCAACCCCCGCAGCATTTGGCCGCCTCTTCGTTGGAGAGGGGACTTTCAACCATGCGCAGAGGAGCCTCCTCCAAGACGAGCGTCTTCTTTCCAGGGTTGTCCTCGGAGTGATTCTTTCGACCGCCATACCCGGCGTTTCCAGGTGGGCTCTCTTCCACTCCAAGTGGGACCCTGCACCTGCTTGGCTGCGAGGTCAAAAGAGGTCCAAGTGAAAAAGCTGTCCTGGCCGCGCCCCCCAACCAAGGATGTTCCGGATCTCGGCAAGGGGTGAATCGAAAGAAGCATGGTATCTTGCCAAGATGCTGCCAGAGCCAGATATCCTGTGTGGTCGTAGAGGAGGAGGCAGGCGTCCAACCATGTTGGCCTGGATCCGAGGCTGTAACTGGCGGACGCCTCCCCCTCAGGCTCGTCAGAGACCGGCGCGTCTTGTGGGTCCTTGGCGAGCCGCGCAGATAATGCCGTGTCCTCGGGTCTGGCCTAGGCGGCATTGATCGAAAGATCGGAGAGCTCATTCCAAATCGAGGAGAACTTGGTAGCGGCTGGTGACTGGCCCGGGCACTTCTGCCAGGTTCGTGAGCAACATTAGAGCAGTTTGAAGCGTCAGGGGGTGGCGTGCCAGGCTTAGGGAACCACCGCAGTTTTTTCCAGGACCCGCACTTCGGCCCGCCTGCCAAGAACCTGATTCTGAGCTGTAGCACAGCCCGACAAAGGCCTTCTTCTTCTCTTGCAGCCGCTGGCCCCTTCGATCTGCAGCAGGCCAAACTTCCTGCAGAAACATGTAGCGCAATCCCAGACCCGCTGGATCTTGTGCGGTGTGACCTCCTGCTCCCTGAACTACTTCATCAGGTTTTTGACGCCCCCGTCCGACCAGGGGACGCGACTGAAGCCCGCCCGCGAAGGCAATGGACGCGCAGAGTCCGGAAGCGGACATCGCCGAGGAGGTCCGTAAACTCTTTTAAAAAAAGCTTTAAAGGTTGCAGATACCTAAGATCTAAGTGGGGCAAGGTTTAGGGTTTATACATGTTTGTACGACCCTAAACCCCGAAGCCCAACCCTTGACAACTACAAAAAACCTAATCTCAAGGAACCCCCCCTTTCAGCCCCTGAACCCTGACCCCCCCTCCAAACCTTGTTAAGCTGAGTGTCGCCAGAGCCGAAGAGCGCCGCCAAGGGGAGGAAAAACCACAAGGTGTTCGACTTCAGTTTAGGGTTCGGGCTTAAGGGGTTAAGGTCTTGAGAATCAGAATTTTAGGGTCTTAGGGCTTTAGGGTCTTGGGAACTTGAGGGTCCTAGGGTTACAATTGACAAGTGATGGGGTTTAGGGTTTATGGTTTAGGGGTTAGCTAAGGCTAGGAGTTTAAAGGGATTTATGGCTTTTCTCTTCCTCCCTACCTTGAACACCTCATGCTGCAATATGTACACATATATATATATATACATACATATATATATATATATGTATACATATTACATATATATATATACACACATGCATACATATATGTGTATATACAGCAATGTATACAAATCAATTATTATATGCGTATACCCTATCCTTAGTCTATATATTGTCTGTTTATATACGTATATATGTATAATATATATATATATATACATATACATATATATATATATATTGATAGTTTAGATAAGTATATACGCATCTACGTATATATATATATATATGTTATGTATTATATTAGAACAACAAACAAAAACATACAGCTATTTAGGCCTAAGTTTAGGTCACCTTCTCGAACGCGCTTTGTGCGCTTCGTGCTGGCACCGTCCAGGACACTTGATTCGCAGTCCCTGCTTGAGCGCCCTCATCGTCGTGGGCGCCACGTCCGCTGCCAATGGCGCCACTTGGCACGGGCCACCATGTCAACAGGGCTCCTGCTGCTGTACCGGGTCCTACGATGCATCCCAAGGTGTCCGGTAGTCCCTGTCGTCGCAACGGGAGAAAGGCTTGGTCTGGTCCTCCATCGTCTCGTCTGGCGTCCCCGGCAGGTTGCTTTTGCAAAGGCGAAGCATCTCAGGCATCGCCTGAGAAAATTTCATGAAGCCTGGAGGGGGAAGCTCTCGAAAGCGTTGCTGACTGCACAATGGCAGCACCACCCTCCTGTGGCACTCTCCGGGCTGAGCATGCACTTGTTGGCACCCTGGAACCAGGCTCCGTAGCATTGAGGGCACATCTTGTCCGATGGCTGTCTGACTGGCTTTGAGGACCAGCCCATTTCCGTCCTGCGCAGGGTCGGGGCCTCATGCTTGGAGGACGCAGCCTGCGCGACGAAACCAGCCCAGGGTCGGCTTGGTGGAGAGGCGCGGAGATGGGACCGTGCTCTCGGGCCACTCCATTACCTGGTCCACCTGCCCGGTATCCTCGTCTTCACCCAAGTTGAGGTGGGCCACGGTCTTTTAAGCATCTCGTCGGGCTTGGCAAAAACATCGTCCCTGGCGATGTTCTCGACAATCTCCGCCTCCCCGTCATCAAGATCGGTTGTGACAGGTGCCAAGAGCGTGCCACCATCGATCTCCCGCAACTCCCTTGCTACCGCAAATTCGTCGATCCAAGCATCAGCCGGGGTAGCTGGCGCGGCCGTGGCGAGCAAAGGCGAGCGAAGGGAAACGGAACAGCAGTCGCTTGAGCCGCCTGAGCCAAAATGGCATTCGCCATTGTGGCTCAAGCGTATTGCTGACATAAGGCATTGCAGTGGCGCTCACGGGTTCAATTAGCCATATAATACCCAGGAACCCTCAACAAAAACCTCTGATGTCCAATCCGTAAACCCACACCTTGAACTGGCTCTGAAAACTTAATTCCCGAGTCCTGTGCCTCACATAAGCGCCCTAAGCCTTCAATACGAATCCGGTCATACTCTGGGAAGTGAACTTCGCCGGCTCCAGTCGCGGAGCGACGACCGTGGGCGCCCGGTCATCCTGGGGGAAGCACTAGCAGGCTTTGGGGGTTTCTTTGGATTCGGGTTCAGGGTTTAGGGAAGTTTTCACGCAGGGGAAAACGACTGCGGCAAGTAGGCCCTGTGTGTAAAGCAGTATTGAATGTGCCTGACATGACTTGGTTTGCGGTATAGTCTAAACACAACTGAACACCCATCTTTGAAGCCGTGTCCTTTCCGGGCAACTCCTCGAAAACGGTCGTTGTCCAGCTTCCAGTGCTCTTGCCGGGCATCTGCAGCACAGGCTTCAGGGCTTGGGGTCAATGTTTCGCAACATTCATGGATGAATAGCTCTATGGGTCAACTGATTAGACATTGGAAGCGCCGGGAAGTGATCCTGTGGAGAGATGCCTGTTGTGGGTTTTAGGTCTAAGCGCCACGGGCTCTAGAGTTAGGTGTTCGGGCTAGGAACCAAAGTAGCCAACAATATAGCTGGGAATGCCTTCAACACGATGAATGTGTACTGGCCGATACAGAACCCACGTCAAATGAGGATCAGGAACAAACGGGCGCAGTTTCCTTTCACCGCCCCTCACAGGAAGGATCATCGAAGTACTGCTTCAGCCGACTTGGTTTCAGGCTGTGGCGTATGCAGTCTGGCGAGCGGTTCCACAGTATGAACGCTATCCTCATCAAGGGTCTCCGAAGGTTCATTCATTTGCTGAAGGAGCATGCGGACCAAAAGCTCCTAGAGTAGTGAGTCGCGGCAGTGATTCTTTTGCAAACCCTGCGGTACACCAAATGCTAGGCTCGAAGCATGCAACCTGCTGCCCCAAATCCGAAACCATACAATTCCCGAGCCCTGTTCAGCCAATGACATCTTCAAATCCGGAAGCTCAGTCTTCAGCAGCCAGCCGGATTCACCGATTCACCTGCTGATCCCAAGCCCATGATCCTATACAAGCCCTACAAGCTCTGCCAAATAGAGCCTTTTATGTGACCCCGGGCTCTTTCTAAACTCTCAATCCGAAGCCGTTCGTGTAGCCCCACTCCTTTTTGCAATCGCTTCTTCCCCGTGGCCCCCAATTGCCAACCTGAGGCTCTGGATCCGGAGGTGTCCGAGGTATCCAGTCCGGAGAGGGGCTCCTGGAAGAGTTTTGTAGGGCTTATCGGGGTTTTGAAGTTCTAGTCTTTCGCCTGGTTCAAGGGGCTTCCAAGGTCTACAGGATTTCAGCTTCTGGGTGCGTGGAATATCAGATTCATGCTGCACCACTGCACCAAAGCACCACCATCACCAGCAGCAGCAGCACCGGTGGCAGCGGCAGCAGCACCGGCGGCAGCAGCAGCAGAGCAGCGGCGACGGCGGCGGCGGCAGCAGCAGCCGCAGCGGCAGCGGCAGCGGCAGCGGCAGCGGCAGCGGCAGCAGCAGCACCTGCAGCAGCAACATCAGCCGAGGCGGCGGCAGCAGCAGCAGCAGCAGCAGCAGCAGCAGCAGCAGCAGCAGTAAATAATATCTGTGTTATGCAGAATAAAGATGAGGTTACGCATGCCACTGTTGTCACTCCTGTTCCCCCTTGTTTTTCTCCTGCTGCCCGGTGACGACGACAGTCAACGAGCGAAGTAGCTGAGTCACTGAGTCACATGATTTGTACATTGGGTCGAGTGCTTCCAGTAGCCAATGTACTGACATGTGTCTGGCTATGTGCTGCATTTGGACTGCGTGAAGCGCAGATCGTGTGTAATTCTTCAAGGCCAAACCCCAAGCCATCAACAGGCAAAGCGTGACTAAACTGTTACCTGCTCTAGAGGCTCCTCGTCTTCTCCGTTTCCGCAAGCCTGCTGGCCTCCAGTCATGTTAACCAGAGCTGTCCATTGCATGTAGCTTATCTTGCACAGGATAATATGATACCACTGGTATCAGCAGCGGACTAAGAAAGGGTAGAAATACGCCAGGGGCCTATGCCTGCAAATACGCCTGGGCTCGAACCTCAAAGCTCGCCACCAGGGTCCCAGCATCCGCTCGGGGCAAAGGTGATCGACTGACCGCACGCCATACGCAGGACCGAGGGATCCAGGGTTGACGTTGAAGGCTTGAGGTCCGGCCGATGCTAGGACTTGCTCACTTTGCTTCCTGCTTCTAGCTCCGTGCAAGGATCAGTTGCCATAATTAGTTCAGGCACAGAATGACTTGCAAGTTCAGGCTTGTGTGTGGTGGACTGAGTTCCGTGAAGATCCCTGACCAGCTCCTCCTCGATCTTGCAGAGACTGTGATCGGAGCGGTCGTCTTTGGAGACCTCTGCATCAGCGCTGTTCTCCTTCTGCCTTAGCATCCTTGCATCCTTCTCAGTCCTAAGCCCCTAACTTTAGACAAGGACCTACACAGAATAGTCACAATCTCCTAATACATCAGATGATCCCGACATATCATGCCGACAACATGAAGCGATGCAGAGCTCAAGCCTATGTCATTGTCAAGTCATCCCTGAACATCCCTCTTGCTTGTCTGAACAAATCGACTTCGTCGGCACTCGAGGCTCGCGACATGTGCATCCATCAGGAGGAAGTGGCGTGCGCGCATGGATCTTGAACTCCAGCCGTCGAACTTGCAACCAGAACAAAGACCGGAAACCAAAACCCTGCTCCCCGACTCTACTGCCCGGAACCCTAAGCTTCAGATCCTCGCCCAAGCTCCAACACCGAAGCCAAAACCTCCAAGAAACGCTCGGGAATGGAAGCCTGAGCAAATGGCAAACATAATCCCAACTGCAGCAAAGACAGTCTTCCCAGAAAGCCCATTCCTAAGACGATTCGGCCCTCTCGCGATGTCGCACCCGACATCTCGGGCATCGACCGCTCGATGCGAGAATTCTCCTGAAATGCTGTGTGGGTGTGGGGGGGGGGGGGGGNNGTGGGGGGGGGGGGAAGGGGTGGGGGGCTTTAAATTGGGACCCGGTTTGATGTTTTCCATGAGAATTAGGCTTTGAGGTTCGGGACAAGGATGTAGTCCATGCATTTTCAGGTTTAGGGGTCCGAGTTCATTGTTATGATCGCCAGCTCTCAACAATGCCGGTAGTCCTGCTACAACTCCTCAGCTCCTCACCGTAAGAGCAATAACGATGATGTTCTGGTGATGATCACGTCACTGATCGTGGTAATGCCAGCGGGGATGCAAATAAAATCATCTTCACTGTTGGCGTTGTGAGTGGAAGGATTCCGCCTGCTTGAATGTTCCGTAGAGTTCACCGTGATCAGGTTCGGATGGTCACGGACACGATGGTGCTGGTCATGCTGTTAACGACGTTGACGAAAAGCTGACTATGATGACTTCTGCAAGTAGCTAGTAGTACTGTCAGCACTTACTAGAACAAGCAAAAAGTAGATTGCTAGGAAATCGCAACCACACATATTCGTCTGGAACATCTTGCATGTGAAACTCTGAAATGCTTGCAGGATAGCAGGAATTGCTACAGTGTTTGGTCGAATAAGAGGTGGGGTCGAATGCTGCCAGGCGTGTTCTCCCTCAACTTCTCCTGTAGCGGCGCTGGATTGGGCTGCCGAACAGGGCGCTTTTGGGAGCGCTCCTCACGACAGATCTCGCTCTCTCCCTCTCTCCCTCGCTCTCTGTTCTCCCTCCCCTTCCCCCAGTCTCTCTCCCTCCCTCTCTTGCTTGCTTGCTTGCTAGGTATGAAGGCCGAAATCCCCGAGCCCTCCAAGAATGCGTGTGAGCTCTCTCTCGCTTGACGCAGTAAACATTTAGGTTTAGAAGCTCCTTCTCTTGCCGTGGATTTGCCTGCCTTTGTGCCCTTGTCGATTCAACTAGCGGTCATTCTTGATACGTGTCCTCCGGTATCGCAAATCCATGAAGGGTCAACAGGTGTACATGTGGAGAAATGGCCAAGTCCTGGGGTACGGAGAGTGAGGGAGAGGGCCGAATGCGGCCTTGTATGCAATTTCAATGACTGTTTCTTCAGCAAACTGACCCTTCGGTTCTTGCTGCCACAAGAAATGGTGAAAGAAGCAAGAAACATGACAACGCCACACAGAGTAGTAAGTAGGCAGTGTCATTACTGCGAAACTGCGAACAATAACAATAGAAGCGACCGCACTAACAACAACAACAACAACAACAACAACAACCAACAGCAACAGCAACAGCAACAGCAACAGCAACAGCAACAGCAACAGCAACAGCAACAGCAACAGCAACAGCAACAGCAGCAACAGCAACGGCAACGGCAGCACTTCGTTCACACACAGCGGGACGCGCTCTTGTCTTTGTGAACATTTCCCTCGCTTTGCGAGTGACTGACCTAGCTATTGGCCCTACTCTCGATTCCTTGATGATGACATTTCCATTGCTACTAGTGGAATAGATTGCATACTCAAATGCTGATTGGACCGTGTGTTTTTGTTGCGGGGAGTTCCGGTCTGCAGGGGGTGATTAGCGCCTCACTCGTGTTGGCCCGCTGAAGACCGTGCCGCGGCGCTGTGCCTGCATGCATCCCGATTACGGACCTGCTGACCCGGGTCAAGGAACTGAGCATCAGAATGCATTCTACTGTTTTCGTCGGCCCTGAAGTGTTCTCCTGTAAGACATCGGCACTTGGAGTCCGAAATTGCTCACTGACAGGCTCACTGACCACTGGTCCCTGCGGAGGCCCGGACTCTGGATCTTAGTTCGCCTCGTTTTGCACTGCCATGGTTTCTTGTGTGTCTGTCTTTGTGAAGCACTGCCGGTGTCGATCTCCGACTTTCTCGACTCTTGCTGGCATGTCTGTGGCGTACTGCCTGATTGCGAGCTGAGAGCTGGCCTTGAGACGAGACATTTAAAAGATTACAGCCCCTCTGTATGAATCGGATGATTGCTCAGCTCAGGCTGAAAAAGTACGGCCATAACTGACAAAGCTTTGGACATCAGGTGCGAAGCTCCCTATCAGTTCTGACCACCAGTTCTATGCTGAAAGTCAAGCGATTCGGGAGAGAAACGAGAAGGAGTGGTAGTCCGTGTGCTGGCTGTATTCCTTGATCGGTCGTTGGTGTCGTTGTCGCGACCGCCGGTGTTGGCGCTTCACCTTCCGGTCCTGCCACGTGCGCTCTGGTCAGTGGAGCCGTGATACGCATTGCCCCAAGGGGAGTTCCTCCTCCCGGCAAGGTTGAAAGGTGGGCACTAGGGGGAGTAACTCCACCTGGGCCCGAGTTACTCGTCCTGACACATCCAATTCAGGGGATCGCCGTGCCATGTGAGTCAGTCGAATCCGTCATGGCTGCCGGTGGCGGCGGTCCATTCTGTGGAACTGGTGGAGGTGGCCCTCTCGGTGCACCCTCAGGTGCTGTTGACGACTTTGCCGCTGCTGGTCCTGCTGAATGTACGGTCCTCGATGTCGTCGCTGTCCGATGGGCAAGTTCGCAGCTGATCCTTTGCCTCTTCCCCTACCCCGAAAAGAAACGGTTCTCGAGACTGATCCACGAGTCCACTGCGGCACGGCGGAGCTGGTCCTGGTCTCACTTGTATTAGGCAGAACGTATGCTCTCTTGAGGCGGCTCCGGGGAAGTTAGAAGAGACTCGTAATCAGCTTGGATGTCAGAAGCCGTCACTCCTATCTGCTATAAAAACCGTCCTGAAGGGGCAGCGACCGCCCGATCTTAGACTCGCTTAACTCTGCTTTCAAGAGGGGCAAGTTGGAGCAGCAACTGAGCTGTATGCTGAGGCGCCCCCCCCCCCCTCGAAGAGCTTTGTCCTCTGTGCGATCGACCACCTGTTGAATGTTGTCTTGACGGCTCGCCCAGGAGGAGTGGGTAGATTTAATGCCGAGCTCCGAATGCTCACTACCACTCATGCATGGTCAGACATTCCTGCCAGTTTTAAAAGCTGTATACTGTAGATGAGGCAGCTGTCACCCGTTTGGGCTTGGGCAGTCGGTTGAGATGCCAGGACAAGGAGTACCCCACTGCCTTGGTTGCGGGGAGTGTCTCCCCCAGATCCTACCGCCCGATCGTACTTCTTCCCTGTCTTGGCGTGCTCGTATGAATCTATACAGTGGGCGGGAATAGGATCCGCAGTCAAGATGACCCCATTTTTCCTTCTTGCTGCCCTTACAACCTTTCTGATAGCCGCAGCCCTTGGAGGGCCGTAACAGCCATGTTGTTGGATTGCCGAATAGAGATTGCAGTCCGTCCTGTGAGAGACTGTATCAGGGAGTAGCTCCTCTGTTTTCTCCTTTGAACCAGATGTGCCCACTTCAGATTTGGAAGGGCCCGGATGTATTTACATCCGTCGGCTTCACCGATTTCTCGCCAGCGGAGGCTTCTTGCTGCTCAACCCTCGGCCACGCAAGCGCACCTATCAGTCTTGCCCAACTCTGCGGTAACGGACAGTCGTGGGTGGTGTCCGTGCCCGAGGCAGGCAGCCAATGCCGTGGAACCGCCACCGACAAGGGGCTATCTGGATCCTGAGCCTCCAATCTTGTGCAAGACGCCTTCCTCGCCTAACCAGATTGTGACCGCGCTGGCCTGAGCCTGGGCTTTTGGAGCTGGTTGAGGAGTCCACAGAAGATGAGGAGGCTGCAGCACCTTCGATGAGCCGGGAGTATCTCCACCTGCTTGTTTGGGCAGCACACTAGTTTGGCTGGAGGGAGGGAGTAACTCCGCTCCTTGCCCCCTTCCCATGCCCTCTGTCCTGCTATGTCCTGCTGCTGAGGAGTTACCCTCCAATCGAGATTGAGGGCGTGAAACGATTCGACGGTACCTCAAGTTCGCTGGCCCATGCACGAAGATAATCGCCGAGATCGATTGTGCGTTTAGTCGCTGGCTTCAACCGTCGTGCCGCAACCTGAACTGCATCGTCCCCAACTGATCTGTAGGTCACCATCGGGGGCAATCTTGTGGCACTGCTTTCCCGATCTTTATGGTATTGAGCTGTCATCTTACCTCTGAGGCTGTGGTCGAAAAAAGTCCCTGCTTCCGACCTAGCAGGAAACCAAACATTCCTTGAAGAAGCTCTCCAAGCTGCTCTCTCTTCCTGAGCCCTTAGCTGAGAGAAGGTCATCCCGTAATCGCACCCTCTCTCGCGGCTTACCCGACTTGAAGGCTTTGAGGACCTTGTATAGAGTGGCTTTTGCCTCCGCAGCGGACTAAGTGTTGATCTATCATGGCCTGCTGCTGGGCATGCTTTTGTTGCGTGGATGGTTTGGCCTCAACTCCCTGATGTGCGATCGTGCTCCAACAGGTCCAGACCATGTTTAGCTTCATCGAATGATCTCTTGCAACTTTGGTAACCGTTTCTTAGAGAAAATCTCTTACTCTTGTCATTGGTAGATGGCGACTACCCTCTCTCCAAGAGGCTAGCGGAAACCCTCCTTGAGGATGGCAAGACTTAGCCGGGCCTTTGGCTTGCTCTATCTGCGAAATAAGACAAAGCCGTTCTGTGTGACCGAGCAGCCCTGGAAATGGGTGGCTGGTTTTTAAACCCCCAATGTGTTTGCTGCTGTTTGCTGCAACCAGACGATATTTTCTCTGAAACGACTGAAGCTCCTGAAATCCTCTGTGCCCTAGTCGACACGAGGCTATAGTGCAGGGTCCCACATGAAGCTTGTCTGGCTGAAGAGACATGTGGAAGTCCCCCAGGACTAGCAATGTTCCGCTGGGGAATACGTGGGATTGCCTTGCCTAATTGCTGCAGATATCCGTGTGTTGCTTCTCTGTTCGCTGTGATTGTATCCGGAGATCGCCAGATGTGCTGATAGCACGTGAGTACGTCCAAAGAGAACTTGCTCCCCGAAATCCGGACGTGCACAAGCCTTCCTCGGACAATCTCATTAAAGCAGCGATCCTTGGCTTGGCTCAGAGACTCATGTGCCATGACCAAGGTGCCTGCCCCCTTTTCTGCTTGTGAGCCTGGGCTGACTATGTGCCAGGCCCCGCGAGTAAGCTGCTAGCTGCCTCTCCAGTGAGTCTCCTGCACTGCAACTATCTTCACAGACTCGTAGGCAGGAGTTGTAAGTAAGGAGAGTAACTCTTCCCATGCGGCGGTCGTGAGGGAGCCTGCGTGACAGAACATAAAGTCAATGCGTTGGTCCTCACGATACCCTGGGCTTGTTGTGCTGGGCGCTACTAGTCACTTAGCTTTGATCGGATGAGCCGGAGTTGCTGCTAGCTCGGTTAGCGTGAGTTGCTTGCCTTATTCCTTCTATGTGTAGCAATGCCATCCTTCTGGGCCTGACGGACTGCCTTTTGGTAGTTCTTAACATTTCCTTTCGGAACAGGCCTATTGCCGCTGGTCAAGTCAAGGTGCTGTTTCGCCGAACTCACATTAGGTCCGGCTCCTGCCGGCTGCGCAAAGCGACGGCCCTCACCTCTGGGAACCTTTACCAAAGCTGTGTGGGCAAGTGTGTTCCCTCCCGGATTTTGCACCGGGGCAGCTCAGCGATGACATGGCGAGCGAGGAGAGGCAAACTGTACTAATCCCTTCCCCCTATTATTAAAGCCTCCCCTAATATTAAAACTGCCGCC